TACTCCTATTTTTTCCTGTGTCGTGGGTTATGGATGCGCTACACTAACAACAATTAAGTAGTGGATCATTTTTCACACTAAGTATTGCTCCGTGCGGAAAACGAACCTGCGACATTTTGCACAGCCCGGCCACTACACCAACAATACGTGTAGTCGAATTTGAAACATATTATATTATGTGATCAGAAATAGTATTTCCAAATCAATGGTCAGACTCCTGACTATTAAGTTTAAACTCAGTCATCTGTAATGAGTTAGAAGCAAATATTCGACAGGTAGGTAACATCAAACATTATGTGGTAAGGAGGTCGGCTCAGGGAATTAAATGTTTGCTCAGTGTTTGTTTGAAACCCACTTTATTCAGGTACCTAAGTACATCGACAAATAATACAACAAAATTTACACGTGTACTTCCTAACCATTTTCAGACTACGCTAGATTTAGTAACAAAGTAATAACAATGTTCAAGTTTATACTTTATCGACCTTGGTATGTTGTTTCAACACAGTTCATAAGCCTTTTATCTCAAAATTCGTTTATTGAGTAAAAACTTGAGTCACTTGAGGAGGGTCCCGTAATTGTTGTATTAGAAGCAATACCTTACGAAAATTATTAAGTTCCGAATTTTCATTATAATTTTGCTTGAGTTCAAGGTTTATGGAGTTTTGTTGTGTATGTAGGATGAGAGTGGCGCCATTATGTCGATCGGAGTTCGTATTTAATACAAACACGAACAGTGACGTCGAAATCAACTTGCTAATGACATTTCAATGGCCATCACAAGTGGTGACTAATGTGGTATGAATGCTATCCGGATTTAAATGTATCTTTCAGTACATTTTTAGGAGAACGTTATTTATCCTATTAAAGAAAAACTTTACAAACTTATCTATCACCTTGTTAGAACAAATAATTGGCAATAAAATCTTGATTGAAACGGAACTTAATATATAACTCTTCGAAAATAAAAGTCCGAACGCTTGCACTGAGGAAAATTAAAAAAGTTTGACAATTAATTTCTTCTAATTTACTTGTTTTTTTACTAACAAGCTGTTTTATTGTTTTATTGGCAGGCCTACTCAATTTGGGAAAGTGGCAAACTGTTGAAAGTGCCGACTAATAGCAAGGATAGCAAGAATTTGATAAACTTGGTTTAAAGTGCAAAGCGATGTTAGCTCCACACAAACGTTAATGTTTGAGGCTGTAAATTGTCTTGAAGAATGTTCTACTCGCGTGTTTCTAATTCGAAAACAATTGTAAGCCTTGCTGCGAGCGTGTCTAACTTAATGCACACATTTGCCAAGCAGCGGTTCCACAATATTTATTACATCGGAAACTCATTGAGATATCTGCTTTCCTCTTATTCTGAGAAGAATTCAGTTTTATTGAATATTTTGTACTGATCCACAAATGATACGCGGAACTCAATTTCCTCCTTTAAATTTTTAATTGTTTCATTTGCAGGAAAAATATCTTTTCCTTTACAATTTAAAAGTTTCTAGAAATGAATGACGTACATCTATATATTAAACATTCATTTCCATTTTACATACCTATCCAAATAAAGGGGAATTTACAACAGACGCTTCAATATTTTCGTTCAATTTAAGGGTACCCGTTTATTCTCAGCGTTGATTTATTTTTGTATCCACAATATATTGTTATGGTGTATTTGTTAGTATACAAACACAATATTCATCATGCCTCTTAACACCAGAATGTACGAAGTGGAATACAAAGGTACCTAAGTACATCTATCCTACATCTAATGTGGTAAGGGTAAGCCTTTTACCGAATAACAGAAATAATTTCAGATTATTTTCACAAAAAAAGAATATTTTATTTTGTTATTTTGTATGTTACGTTTAAGTAGATAGAGTCTAATATCGTACAAACCAATTTCTTCAAAATACAATAATATTGACGCTGGTGGCCAATTTCCCACATTATTATGCCTAACTTAAACTATACATAGGATGCCTATGTGCCTACTGGTAGATCTAATATGATCTACTGCAGCTTACACATAATTTTAGAGAAAGTAAAAACACTTATCAATATATAAAGTATATATCAGTATGTGTGTATGTATGGTTTCTTATCGTTATGAATTAAAATGAATATCATTGGTTAATCTCGAAACAAAATATTTATGTAAAAATATTTTTTTTCCAGGAAAATAAGATTATAGCACCCGAACAGAACTGGGATGGGTCACTAGCAAGAAGGTAGGTAATAATAAATTAATGAATTCGCGTAAAATATTTCTTATCCTCTACAGATTTTCATTAACAAAAGCCAACAGCTACATACAAAATAATAAAGTACGCTTACAAATTAAATTTCAACATTACCCAAATGCATTTTAGGAGAATAGCTAACTTCCTCGTAGCTCTGAAATTATTATGATTATAATCTCTACATTAAAATAATTCCCACAATCTGCGAGCCAATTAGGGAAACCATTCTTCTGTTTATCTTGCATCTATCGTTTGAGTTGATAATTAGGTTATCATCGTCATTTGTGAAATGAACCCTCTCTACATAAGAGAGCATCTGTTATAATCTCCATGCACCCCAGGAAGCGTTGTTTGATCACAAAGCTGTTTTTGAACGGACAGGGGGAGTCATTCAATAAGTTTTCTAGTCTTGTTTGGAGTGAGAGAAAATGTGAACCTAGAAACCCTTCCCAGAAAATAGCCCATTCTTTCTCATAATCTGGGTCACGGTACATCATTGCGGTTGCTTGGTATTCCCGGCTGGACACCGGACTAATTGGAAAGACCAAACACACGACGACACAGGTGGAGATTATCATGTCCCTGAAGCCTGGGGTATCACCTGTGGTACCTGGGACGTGAGGAAGATAGTTCCCTCATGCACTACGTCTCTTTTTTTGCGAGCATGATTGCTTTAAAGAAGATGGCGTTAGCTTCCAAATTCTTCTCGCTCTGCACAATGGCCTGGACCAAGGGTTAATTGGAGAGGTAGTCGAGACATATTGCTCTTAAGTCTAAAGACACTACGGTGTCCTTCGGGCTATTTTCGCAATGATAACTATACCTTTATCCTTTCTCTGAAGGGGTACTTTTCTCTGAAGCTGACTGTACCTGAAACTTTCCTGTATGGTGAGCACCTATATGAAACCACCCAACAAGAAGGTGAGGACACCGTAACATCTCTCTAGCCACTCAAAGGGGCTTCAGAGGAAATAAAAGCTGCTGTTAGGTTTCTGTCAAAAGTCTCTACAGTTGGTTTTGTTAAGGAATTATTACAAATCTCACATCAAATCACCAATCCGCTACACAATAAAACTACTCAGAGCCTACTTATAATTGGCTACAATAAAATAAAGGCGTATCCTTTAAGCGATTTATCAAGAGGTGTGGTCTTTTTCTTTGATTTATTGGATATCTCCGCCTCAAGCAAGAAAATGGCTGAACTACTACAACGTTACAACGCGCAGCGGTCAATAAAAGTTTGAAGAAAATGGTTTTCCTGTACAATCTGTTTAAGATTTACAGGCTATAAGTTAACACGTTATGTGCGGTATCCATAGATATATATTTAGTTATTGGTTTTTGAAACAGTAAAGTTTGATCCGAAAAAGCAAAGATATTTAACATGATCCTTAAATAAACAATGGAAAATACACGGCTTGCATTAAAATGGATGAAAATTTGTTAGAAATAATGCTACCTTTGAAACTTAAACCACTCAAATGAAACGAAACCAAGCACTGAAACGTAAATCAATGTTTTTTCGCTAGGTAAATTGGAAATTTTGTACGATTACATATAATTTTATATTTTACACTAGCTTCCGCCCGCGGCTTCGCCCGCGTCAAATTAGTTTTTGTCAATCCTGGTCCCTTATTTGAAAACGGTACCCTCGTACGTAACCCTCTTGCTCATTGCTAAACATAAGCGGGTATTGTAGTGCGTCATAAAACTTGTGTGTGTCGGACACCCTGATCATTGTGTTATCATGGGCTTGAAAAACAATATCGCGCGATGCGAACTGTTCACCACACACCATGGCAGCGACTTCGTTTATTAAGGGTGCATTATAACGTCTTTCATGTTCCCCGCTTGGCGTACGATCGCCGAGTATTACTAATTTGTGAATTTCCCGTGGCATTTTTTCTAAGGCTGTTTTGAAGGTATTAATGAGGAAGAAAACAATGTCCCTCTCCTCTCCTTCAATATTTTGCCATTAACGGTCAACCTCGCTCTAGAGGATACGGTGGAGCATACGGTAGCGGTATGCCCTGCCTGGGCTAAGCACCGCCGTATCCTCAGGGAAGTGATCGGCGGCGGCGACCTCTCGCGCCCGGCCTTAGTCGAGGCCATGGTGCGGAGTGAGAGGAACTGGGACGCCGTCTCTCTCGCCGTCCTTTTGTGAAGCAGTCATGCTCGCAAAGAGAGAGGCGGCCCGCGTGAGGGAGCAATCCTCCTCCTCACGCCCCAGCCGCTGCAACTGGCGACACTACGGGCGTCGGGGATCGAGGGACGATCTCCGGCCACCTTAAGCACGGGTGTATAAAGTTTCAAAGGTCGGCGAGTAAGGGCAGCTCGCCGCCCGACCAGAACCAGGCCCGAGCGCACGGCGCGTAGCGTTCCGCGCGCGCCTCAAAGAGCCAATAGACCACCACAGACGGGGCCCTAAAGGGCTGATGTTCAGCCGGGGTTGCGGGGTAAGCGCAATGAGGTACCGCGACCTCGGCCCAGAGCAGGAGAAGGAACAGGGGGGTTTTTAATCAGTAAGAGTCTGACATTCCCTCCCGCTCGGCCCTGGGCGGGAGAAGTTATTTGATGATTTTCCCCTCACAAAAAAAAACGGTCAACCTCGTTGTTTTCGTCTCCCATAAAATCAATCTGTAGAAATGTTGGTTGATCATTGTTTGTGGAAAGCAAAGAACCAATCCTATGATAAACTTGCCCTTGTACCGTAAATGTGGGTGAAAATCCAGGCATGATGACAGGAAAAATCGCCGAGATTCATTGCTGTCCTTTCTTCTGTCGTGGCTCCTCGGGGTCACCAAGCGTTGGTACTGATACTTTGCTTCCAGAACAGCACATACCTAGGGTCTCTTCCTTCCACTTGAGTGCCTCACAGTGTCTGCATTTATTGGCCATTCTACCTATGAGGACTAATCAATGATTAAAGTAATCAAGTAACAGATCATAATCAAAAGCAGCATCGGCAAATGCCTCCCACGTATTCATCGTAAACGTACGTCTCCTTTCTGCTTGCCGCTCGGCATTAATTAAACGTCGTCTACGTGTTTCTTCGGAGGTTTCTGCGGCTATGTACGAAGCTTGACTCATCATCTAAGATTTGGCGAGCTTGGGTCTGTTGAGAAGTCTCAGCAGCTCTTTGAGCCGCGTGACGCTCGGCATCAATGGCTTGGCGAGCTTAGGTCTGTTGAGTTGAGTAGAAGTCTCATTCCAGTGATCTATCAAGTTTAGCAGCCCGAGCTCTGCTAGAGCTTTTAGCTAAATCGGACTTTCGTTTGCGAGGCATCGTAGAACAACAAAAATGAAATGAATCGAACAAAACAGATGTACAGATTCAGATTTATTATATTAAAAAAGCTTTGTTCACCCTACCTGCACCTACTTGGATAAGTAGGTACTTATTTACAACCAATGCAAAAAAGTAGGATGCTATTAGATTAATTGAATAAAAAAAGGAAATAAAAGCAAATCGTATTTATTTAAAGTAACGGAAACTATCCTACCTATTTGTAACGTTGTAACTATGAACTAAAAGAAATATTAAGTATGTGCAAAATTTATTTCACATACTTAATATTTCTAATTAATAAAAAACACTTAAAAAGTTAGACGAAATAATAAAATAATTTTACTGGTTCGAAAAATGTAATTCTCTAAAGCGCAAATTTCTCTTATCGCACCCGACAACGACCTCTGTCCTCACGTGTCTGTCCGTTCGGGTAGACATAGTTAGATTCGTGCGCTTCCCCACCATACGACAGGGCCGCGCCGCACTTCGGCGAATGTGCGCGACGCCGACGGCAGCGACGGCGATGCAGAGTGTTCATTAAAAGGAATTTATACTTCGAAAGTGAACTATTTTGTAACGTTATACACCCAAAACTTCGAAATTACATGTTAGGTTCAATAGTTAAGATTTCATATACTTACCTACATGAAGGTTGGCTTTGTAGACCTCGTTCCGAATCCGTTCCGGGTCTTATCTTCAATTCATCCCCTATTTCACTACATATCACACTGATAAAATTTTCAAAATGCTAGTACACACGATTTTTTGTTTCTTATGACGTGATATTTGACGAAATTGCATACTAACTTTCAACCCTTACTTCACCCCCTAGCTGGTCGAAATTTCAAAAATGCTAGAACAAATATTTCATATTTTCTTATCAAGTACTTAAATATTAAGTTTTATGGTTTTATCTTTAAAAATTACGAAATCCCATACAAAATTTTAACCCCTATTTCAAACCCTTTATCCCTGTTTTTCGAAAAAAAAAGTAGCCTATGTTCTGTCTCAGGGTCTAAAGATTGTCTGTACCAAATTTCATTAATATCGGTTGCGAGGTTTAAGCGGGAAAGCGTTACAGACAGACAGACAGACAGACAGAGTTACTTTCGCATTTATAATATTATATAGTTAGGATTAGGATAGTTAGGATTGTAATCTTTAAAGTTTTTTGTTGAAATTAAGTTATGTTAAAGACAATTTTATTCACAATGAAGTACTCTTAACCAACAACATATTTATTTGAATAAAGATTAATATTATTATGTTGATACAACTTAAACAAATTATTTCGACCAAATTAGGTACCATAAAAACGGTTTTTGTGAGTTAATCTTAAAAGATAGACATATACTGTCGCGGACTGTTTTTTAGATCATTAAAAGAGCTATTATTCTTTAATACATATTTTCTGTGTATCTTGAACCGTTTTCACGGCGCACGCAACGGAAGGCTTCAAAGATGAAATAATTTCTCCAGTTTTTTACACATTTACCACTATATCTTTGCTCCTATTGGTCGTAGCGTGATGTTATATAGCCTATAGCCTTCCTCGATAACTGGACTATCCAACACAAAAAGAATTGTTCAATTCGAACCAGTAGTTTCGGAGATTAGCGCGTTCAAACAAACAAACAAACAAACAAACTCTTCAGCTTTATAATATTAGTATAGATTATTTTATTTGACAAAAAACTTATTATTTTTAAAGGAAGGAAAGATACTAGGAACTAGAACTACCTGGATAAATATTTTTGTAGTTATAACTTTCATAGAGATTATATTATGTAGACAACCTCTTGCTGGTGTGTTTAAAATCTGATACTTAAACATATTTGATGACAAGTCTCGAAGTGGTTTTAATTATCAAAACATTTAGCGGAAACAGGTACTGAAAATTAATTTGAAGGTGCCAAAGAAGTTGCAATGATGAATTTAGAAATATGAAACGGGTAATAAGCAATACCCCCTTTTGAGAATTTTCTTATAAATATTGAAGTTAATGAAAAGGAATTTCATTTCGAGCAAATTCATTCCATTCACGAAAATTATTTGACAGTTACAACTTTGATTCAATTCTTTGTTTATGTTAAATTCGGAAAACGAAAATATACTTGTTACTTACTTATTACTCAGACAATGCTGACGTCGTTCTCATAAAGTATATGTATAATATAATAATTGTATAAATAAGAATATAAATTAAAAGAGTAAATAATAATGAAAATTGTTCCTCGCAGTACAAAATAGCTAGCACTTAGATTAATTCTGTGCTCTGACCCGGGCACAAGGGTTTGAGCCAAAGGTATTTGTTTAAGATTTTATGTTGTCTGTGTCAGACATGAAAATGTACCTAGGTCCACCCATTCTTCGAATTTCTCGAATAGTAAAAATAATATTTATATGACTTTCGTATTTTGTAATTTTAAGTCATACAGGGGCCAACAAATACAGATGGCGATTAAGACGAAAATGAAATGAAATCATACAAAACGCACGCATTGTTTCGGAATCAAAAGTCAATAACAGTATTATAGAAGTAAATAGATAATAGCCACTTTATGTTCTATGATCATCATAACAGGCATCATTTCGATTCACTGCTTTGCCTGCGCTTGGAAGCTCTTTGCATTGTATGTTGCCACGCATGACTGACGAAGTGACGAAGTGGTCAATAACCTCGCACACCGATATAGCTACTACAAATAGCTTGTTCGGTATAAAAGCAACGTTGCAAAATAACTATCATACATATTATAGTATTTTTCCCTCCATGATATTTTCAGTACAAAGTCTGGAATTTATTGCCTATTACACCATGATAGTATCCTCCTAATCCACGCATCACCATCCTCGTTATTGATGGTTAAGATTCCTCTTCTAGACAGTGAGTCGCCACTTGTACCTCTCCTTGTCTAATGCAATAGTACAATATTGGATAAAATAATGCAATTGCCCAAACCCTTTGCAATACAGTAGGTATAATATTTCGAAGGTCCTTCAAATTCCGATTTCAGCCAGCATTTCATTTTGTATCCTTGACTTTCCTTCAAAAACTACAATTTACTAGATAAGTAGTCTGCAACCCTCTCCGACCCTAGAAAACTCTTGAAGCATAAAATGGCCTGGAAAAGCGGTCTCTGTACAGCTTTAAAACTCCTTGACAATATTAAACCAGAAATAATAAAATCATGCTTAATAAACTACATAATGCATTGTAAACTTAAACAATATGTTACATTAAATAGGTCACTCCATATAACAAGCGAAAAACATTAGAACTAATTTATCAACTTGCAACACTGCCATATTAATTTCCAGAGACTTTTAATGTTGTAGTGTCGCACTAACATTTTTTAGTTTTAGTTTTAGCATTTTCAACTTCCCTCGTTTCGTTTTATGTCTCTGCTTTATGTTTTTCAGAGGAAAGTATATAAAGTGATATATTTTAGCCGGATTTTAAGCAACCACATTAAAAAAGTGCTCGTTAGTTTAAAGGTCACAGACGCAATTAATATAATATTAACTGAAACAGCAAGAAACTCTCATGAAACTAAAAAATATTGTTTGTAACTAGCTGACTTTTATATTTAAAGGATATCCTTGCGTTAGTACTTAACGAACTAGAACTGTTGTCCGAGAAAATCATGTTTTAGATTTCAAAATAACTGAAGAAAATAAGTTGTAAGTAGAATAGCTAGGTATGATTTAAGAGGTGATTGATTCGGTGCGCGGATGATAATAAAACTTCTTAAAGAAAGAATGTGGACCGTCCCTCGCATTCTCTATCGGACAGTTTCAAAATTAATCAAACATTTTTGATACATTCAGTAGGTAATGTCGGAATATTTTATGAACATTCAATGAAGTTAGAGGCCGCGGCCTCGTGGGTTGCGGTAAATAAATTAGCTTAATCTCGTTTTAATTAGTAGCTTTTAGTGCAAAATTTGCAAACATTTAATATGATGGTAAGTATCGAACGTTTGTGGCGCGAACAATGTCCACAAACAGGATTTGCATAGAGCCAGTAGCCCGTGACCTCAGTCATTGTGCGCCGGAACTGCAAGCATTAATCACAGCTCGCCCAGAAATTACGCTGCCTGCTTTCCAACAAACATACATTAAACTGAAATTTTAGTCTTTTGTGGCTTCATGTCTAATTTTAGTGCAACTTTTTGTAGACCATATTTGCATAAAAGTTGGTATTAAGAATTTGACTAGAAGTCATTGTGAGGACCACCTAGAGGATACGGTGGAGCATACGGTAGCGGTATGCCCTGCCTGGGCTGAGCACCGCCGTATCCTCAGGGAAGTGATCGGCGGCGGCGACCTCTCGCGCCCGGCTTTAGTCGAGGCCATGGTGCAGAGTGAGAGGAACTGGGACGCCGTCTCTTCCTTTTGTGAAGCATTCATGCTCGCAAAGAGAGAGGCGGCCCGCGTGAGGGAGCAATCCTCCTCCTCACGCCCCAGCAGCCGCAACTGGCGACACTACGGGCGTCGGGGATCGAGGGACGATCTCCGGCCACCGTAAGCACGGGCCTGCGGTCGGCGAGTAAGGGCAGCTCGCCGCCCGACCAGAACCAGGCCCGAGCGTACGGCGCGTAGCGTTCCGCG